AAGACATTTTTTTTGAAAACAAAGAAAACGTGTGCCTGGCAGTGTTGCGTATATTTTGCGCGGCTCTCTCAGTGTTCAACTCTTGCATTCGGGGGAAGGGCATTCCAAACGCGAAGGTCGTGGCGGCGTGGGGCAATATACAGACGCGCCTAGAGGCTCATCTTGAAATGGATCGCACCCCAAACGCAACGGCGTTGGTCGAAATTCCTGTCCGAGGACAGTTTCGGCGCGGCATGCATTCCAAACGTTCGCGCCACAGCAACGGACGAACACAAACACAACCACTTTGCGCCCCTCACCAAACGAGAGAACATGCATGGGCTGGCGTGAGCGGCATGCTTCGCTCCGGCGGGGCTCGAGGGGCGCTTTTGCGTCCCGAGGCGCTGAACCTTGAGGCCTGAAATATCATGCTCAGGGGCTTTGAACTTGAGAGGGAAAGAAGGTGGGGAGGAGGAAAAAGGATGAAACCCGGCAACCAGTGTACGTGCGTAAAGCTCGAGGCTCGTTGTCGGGTTTTGCCCTTTTCTTTTTTGCATCCCTCACCCGAAGAAGGGAAATGTGAGAACACAACACACAACCCCCTACCACCCAAGGCGGGCGGCCAACTTGTCAGCGTCTTGTGCGCAACAGGATGGGTGGGGGGTGGGGGGGATCCCGGGGGTGTTTCACCTTTAATGGGGTTGGGGATGGTGGAGAACTCTGTGCCCTCTTCTTCACGCCACGAAGGGAACGGGGAAGAGGCATCTTTGCGGAGTACCTCTCCCGCCCGCCTCCGTGGCGCGATGGCCATGCAAGCGAACCTTTTACTCGGCCACATGCGGCAGCATAGTGAAGAGGCCAACCCTCATGTTCTTTTCATTGAGGCAAATTCCACTATGGTAGAGTGCTTATGGCATTGAGCTGCGGCCATGGGCGGCAAGAAAAGAAAATGGAGAAAAGAATATACAACATATTCCCCATAAGAACACTTTCCCCCATAAGAATATTTTCCTCCACAAGTGTTTTGTTTATCGGGACCCCGCCCACCCCCCTCCTACGCCAACAGTGTGTGAAGTATGTTTGGTTTCCCTGAATGCATTAAAGCGCTCGCCCGGCAACCGCGGGAAGGCAGCTGTCATTGCCAAGGGCGTGCAATGGGTCACATCAGAGCCGAGGTATCTACCCCAAGATGGTGGCGAAAAAAAAGTGGAAGAGGGTACGGCACCCCGGGTTCCAGCGCCATCACTGAGTCGCCGTACTAACGAGGCCTGTGGCCGCTTAACTTCACAAATCGGACGGGATATGGTGCATTCGGCCAAGTATGGTCGTACCCAATATCCCCGCAGTTGGACACATTTTGTTCTTGGTGGTGTCCCCGGGGCGCCCCTCCCAGCCCCACCAGCGCCGGGGGTGAATTTTCAGTTTTGCGAGTGCCGTGCGTTTCCCGCCCCCGTGCGCTACTGGGCCTCTTTGCGGTGGTATTGGGGCACATTTTCGCACACAAGCTAACCCTTGCAGGTGTTGGGTTGTTCCGTCGTTTTGGGTTGTGCCGACCTGCTGGCGTCGCCGCCGCCGTCTGTCACAACTTTGGTTGGCTGGTGGCTTCGGGGTGCGGTGGCGGGTTTCCTTCAGCCTGTCTTTGCGGGTCTAAAAAAAAAAAAGAAAAAAAAAGAGGTAAAAAAATTGATGGCGTTGCGTGGTTTTTTCTCTCCCTTCCCCTCCCGAGGGTTTTTTCCGCGGGGTCCGGCCTCACCGCCTCCCACGAAGGAAAAAAAAAAGTCAAGAAAGAAAAACGAAAAAAAAAAAAAAAATAATAACAGAGCGTAACGAAACGTGGTCTTCGTGATTTTTGTCAGTGGTGTGTTGTGCTCTTTTCTTTGTTGGAGTGGTTCTGTCCCTTTGTTTGATTCTATTCTTCTCCCTCTTCGCTTTCTTCCTCGTTGAATTCACTCACTTGCTCTGCGCTAATCATACTCGCGTTGGAATCGCCCTCGGAATGGTCATATGGACTTATTTCTCGGTTTATTTGCCCCCTTCTTTCCCCCAGTCTCCCAAGCGCCGGCACGACTTCTTCATGTATAAAAGTTGAAAGTGCCTCCATAATCTCCGCCGAAGCTCGATTGTAACCACTTTCGCCTATCCAACCTGTTCTTTCAGATCTCTTTTCAAGCGGCATAGGGGCAGTCGCGGCGGGTACTGCCGCAAGAATGCTCTTAAACACGGGGTCATCAACTAAATCGGCGATTTGAAGTGCGACAAAAAGTCTTCCACCACTCACAAGATTAGCGAGTCGTTGTGCAAACGACCCGCGAGGTTGGTAAAATAAAACGGACGAATCGTTATTGGTATTTTGAGGTTTTTGTATTTGCTGTGTTTTGTTCATCTTATTCTTTAACAATTCTTGTATGACTTCGTTAATTTTTGGTGCGCGACTGACATCACGAATAAGAGTTCCTAGTTCCGAACGACGTACAATTTTAACTGCAATACGTTGCAAGGAAGCTGTCTTATGACTAGCGTAAGGATCAAAACCAATACGAACACGTAGACGATTAAAAGGTCCATTTTTTATAACATATGTTAGACAAGAAACTACTTTTTTATTAATATGTTTACGAGGACAAATACCAGATTGAAGAACGGCGTCAAGGAGCTCTTGTGCAATCCAAACTGGACGTTCTTCTAAAAGACTTTTTACTGTCCTTACTTCTACACATTCTTCTTCACCTTCACCACCATTTAATCGGGAAAGAAGTTCTCTCTGAGCAGGAAGCATGGGAGGTGGAATTCGTGGATCATTTGCCATAACAGAGAGGGTAGGCATTGCCCCCAAATCCTCTTGTAGTGGTGTTTCAGTTTCCTCACCAGATTTTACTCCTGTACGTGAAGAAGATGATCTCTTTGTAGTAAAAGGTCCATTAAATTCACATTCCACTTCAAATGGTGTCTTTTCTGAAATAAAATGTGATGGAGGAAAGAAATTTGTACTACAAAGTGTTGGAGCGGATATGGCTTGATCTTTAGAAAATGGAGCAAAACAAAAATCCGCTGGTCTTACAAGGTCTACTTCTCGTGAAACAACACCCACAACAGTTGGTTTAGTTTGTTCCTGCACAACATCATTATCATTATCATCATCATTTGTTAAATAAAATTCTTGTAGAATACGACCGGTAATAGGATCACGTAAACGCTTCATGCGTCGTGTTCTCTTTATATCTACAAGTAAATCATTACGGTAAAAACCATGCATTAGAACTTGTGGTACAAAGGATGGGAAAGATTCACGTAATATTTCTTCCCTATCTCTTTTACCTTCTTCATCTATAGTTTTAGTAAGATTTTTTCCAAATGCATTACTTGTCATATTTGAACTAGTATCAACATTTTTACCTTTATTTGAATTCACATCGAAATCAAGTGGTCTCCATCCAGAGAAAACTTCGTTCGGACAATACTCAGAGGCCATAGAAATTTTCATTACTGTACAATCTTGTTCTTTCTTTCCTGCATCTGTATTCTCAACATGATGCTCAACCTGTCCTTGGTCTTGTTCCATATTCTTATTATCTTTCTTTTCCGTTAAACGAACTTCATCAAGACAAGGACGAAGAAAGGAAGCTGGAATAAAGGCTTCCACCATCTGACGATCATCCACGCCAATCTCACCACCGCTAGAGAATGTTGAGGATGAAGATGATGATGTCACAGGAAGACAAAATGGGAGTTCCACAGAGAGAAAACATCTATACGGTGGAACGTTTGCCATTTTTATTTTATATCCCCCCTTCTTCTTCTTCTTCCCTCCGCAAAAAAAAAAAAAACCAAAGAAATCTAAAATTAGTAGAAAGAAAAAAAAAAGGGAAAAGGAAAACAAAAACAAAAACTCAGTGAACAGTTACAGACATAATACACCACACATGCATATAAATAAATATATACAAGACACAAAGAAAGAAAAAAGAAAAGTAAAGAAAGGAGAGAAATTTTTTTTTTTTCTTGACTTCCAGAACATCTTTATTTTTCCTTGACTTTCAAAGTCTTTTTTTTTTTTCTTCATCCTTTTCTGTTAATTCCATTTTATTTTTTTCCTGTTGTTGTATTTTGCAACTGCACCGCTCTTCTATACATAATTGTTGAACTGAATTGGTGCTTGAAGCATATTATATATATATATATATTATAAAAGAAAAAAAAAAGCATTCAAAAAAAGAAAAAAAAAGAGAAAATGGAAATAAAGCAAGAAAAAAGAAAAAGAAAAAAAAGAAAATAATAAAGTCAATTCCAATAATACATTATTTTCTCACTTACCACTTGTCGTACACCGCAACCTGTAACGACGGTAAGCACGTTGAATAGTGGTGGCAGCTTCATCTAATACATGTTGCAATTTGTTTTCTTCTCTTTCCTCCCGTAGTCTCTGTGCGATCCGTTCAGACATTATACGACGCCAGAAGGATTGAAGTACAGTCGCGGCCTTATCATACACATCTTCCTCCATCACTTCATGTTGGCGCTCAAATGCCATTTGTTTTCGCCATTGTTCCCAATCACGTCTCACTAGATAACCACGGAAACGAGCTTGAATAGTAACAGCTGCTTGATTTTGTCTTTTAAATTCTTTCTGTAATTCACCAGCCCTATATTGTTTCCAATGATCTTGAATAATTTTGACGGCTTGTGTTTCCACAGCTTCACGTCGCATTTTTTCAATTCGTTTCTTTGCAATCCACTTTCGTACATTTTTCTGAATTATTATAGCCGCTTGAATACGTTGATTTCCACGTTCAATACGTTCCTTTACTAAATCACGTTTAATAACGGATTCATGAACCCAGAATAACTGCCGAACCATATCATGAGGATCAATAGTAGTATAATGATCAATCTCCTCTTGTAATAATTTTTCTCTCTTCGTTACACGCCTAAGATTTGCTTCACAAATAGCTCGCCATTTTCTATAGGCACATTGTATTCTTATAGCACTACGTCTTTCTAAAGCTTCACGTTCTTTTTTACAACGTTCTTCTTCTTCCTTTGCCCTACGCAAACCACGAGCATAAACTCGTTCATAATGACCTCTATAAATGGCTTGTATTTTTGTAGCTGCAGTATGACGACGTAAGAAACGATCACGTTCCTTATCTGTAAGTTGTGTAAGAAGATATTTTCGTTTACGAATTAGTAACTGTTCCTGAGCTAATCGTGTTCGAAGTACTGCATTAATAAGAGTTACCAAAGTATCCCATTTAGCTGCATAATGAAGTTGTAATGCAATTTCTTCTTCACGTTTCGCTTTAAGAGATTCTAATTCATATTTTGCCAGAATACAACGCCACCAACGTTGAATAATAATAACTTTATTGCATCGAATCCTATTAGATTCACGTAAACGAGCCACCACTTCTGCTGCCATCATTTTTCTCCAGAAACATTGTATTTTTAAAGCAGCACGATTTCGACTCATACGTTGAAGTGAACGTCGTGATACTTCAACATTAATCTTTCGACGGAATTTACTTGCTCGCCATGTACGTTGAATCTTAACTGCATAAGAAGCTAATTCTTCTAATGCTTTTCGTTCCTTTTGAAGGGCTTTTCGCGTTGCACGTCCACGCCAAGCTGCTTGTAAAATTGTAGTAGCTTCCACACGTCGTAAAGCGAGAAGTTTCTTTTGTTGACGTTGTCTATAATAATGATCAAGACGAACAAGTTCCAAACGTTTAAGAAATTGACGTGCAGCTCGTTGTAATGTTATAGCCGCACGAGTTTCTTTTTCTAATCGTTTTGCCTCCCGTAAACGTTTTAATTCTTTACGGCATAAATATCCTCGGTAGTGTTTAGAAATCACAACAGCAGCTGCCACACTTCTTCTCATATGTTCTACTCTATCCTTAGCCGCCGCACATCTCCATGCCCGTTGAATAATACAAGCAGCTGCTATTTTTCGTTCCATTTCCACTCGCATTCGAGCTTCATTAATAACACGACATCTGAATTGAGAAAGAGCTCGACGATCGGCATATCCCCTTCCAATACGTTGAAATTCTTCTCCATAAAGGGTGAGTCGAAGAAAAGAACACCGTACACTTCTCACAAGTAAAGTACTTAAATAAGCCTTTGCCCAAGCTTGAAGTAAAAGTAAAGAATGTGCTTGAAGTCTTTCTAAACGTTGACGACGAGCCAAATTAGCATGATAACGGGTCGTTTCCTTTTCTTTTCGTTGTATTTTAAGATTACGGAACCAATTCTGAATCTTTTCAGCCGCATTGTTTCGTCGATTGGCTTCTCGAATTTCAAGAAATCTACGACGCAAGATACAAGTAGCATACCATCGTTGAATACGTCTCGCACGTCTATCTTGAATTTCTCTTTCTGCACGTAAACGTTCCAATTTAGTTCGGGCCACAAGGTTACGCCATTGACATTGTATTTTTGTAGCGGCACGATTAAATTGATGTTGTCGTAAACGATTGACAAGTTCCACTTCTTTTGTACGTCGAAGACGAACAGCAAGAATACTTCTGGCTGCAGCTTGTATCATAATAATACGTTTTTGATTGACTGCAGATTTAAGTTCTTGTTCACGACGATAAGATTTGTAGTAACGGAACCATGCTCTTGCTAAAATACCACGTACATGTGCTTGAATAACTGCCGCTGCTCGTTCTCGTTGTTGTTGTATTTGTGATGCCTTTATCTCTTCTTTTCGTTTTAAATAACGTTTAAATGCCCATTGTATACGTCTTGCCGCATTTTCAGCTATTCGCATTTGTCTCTCATCTTCAAGCCGTTGGGCTTCCATTAAAGCGGCGAGATGTTCTTCACGCCATTTAAGAAAAGCTCGGAATCCACGTTGAATTCTACGTGCCGCATAATAGCGTCGCATCTTTTTCGCAATATATGCTCGTCTAATCTCAAGACGACGTAAGAATTGTCGAACTCTTGTTTGTAAAACTATAGCCGCTTCCGTTTCTTGTTTTTCACGTGCCGCTTTAATTCGGGCCAATCGCTCTTCTTCTGCACGTCGTGCGGCAAGTAAAGCTACAAGATAGATACGAAATACACGTTGTATCTTTTTAGCTGAAATAACCATACGATGAATAAGTGTACGAGCCATACATCCTCGCCAAATACGTTGAATAAGTGTAGCAGCACGATTACAACGATGCATTTCTTCTGCACGCATTCCATTTACTAATTTTTCATATAAGGATTCAGCCATTTCAATATCTTGTTTTGCTTGTTCTTTAGCTAATCGTTTTTGTTCACGTTCTTTCGCTTTAGCGAGTGCACTACCCCTTCTACCAGAAAATTCCGATTTTCTTCTCGTTTCTTCTGTTTTCATTTGTCGTAATTGTGCTCGTTGAATATGTTTCTCCATTGCTACCGCTTCACTCCCTGACAATGCCCATCGTTGTGGTTGAGAAGAAGAAGAATCTGAGATATCTTGAGGAGCCATACTGCCAAACATACGTCGACCAAAAGGATTTAAATAACTTGATAATTGTGAAGAAGACAACTCCTTTGATTTACTAGAACGTTTCTGTTGAAGTGACGCTATAAGGCTTTGAGTTTGTGGTGGTTCAGAGAGTGTTCTCATTGAAGTCAATGGTGTTTTAGAAGGATTAGATATTGGGGCAAGTACAGGAGGACGTGAAATACTATATCGAGTCTCTTCATACATTGGGGTTGGGAGTCGCAGCATAGGATCTACTGAACCTCCTGTAGAGATATCTAATCGTAAAGAACTGGAAACTGAACCAAATCGCTCTCCCTGTTGTCGGGTAATGCCTGGAACCGTCTGTGCACGTAATCCTTCCATCGTGGGAGGGAGTGGTAAAGGAGGTCCTACAGAAGAACGTTGAGTTGGATTAGATTTAGACAACAACTTGGTGGTGGGGGAAACTGAAACGGAGATCATACCACGATCTGATGAGGCTCTTCCACTAGAGATTCGGGTTGGCTGTGCCCATTGATTGCTTGAAGATCCTGCTTCCCTGAGTGGCATCAACCGAGTAACTCGGGCTTGTTGTTGTTGTTCTTGTTGTTGTTGTTGTAATCTTAACCGTTGTTCCTGTTCTTTCTCTTGTTGTAACTGCTTTTGTCTTTGTTCTTCTTCTTCTTGTTCTTGTTGTTGCTGGTGTAAGAGTACATTTTGCTCCCCCTCCAACTCTCGCATTTGCTCTTCTAAATGTTCTTGTCTCCGCCGTAACTCTTCTAATTCCTCTTCCTCGTACCGTTCTTTTCGTAAACGTTCTTTTTCTTTTTCTTTTACTGTCTCTTCTTCTTCTTCATCGTGTTTCACTTTTTCTTGTTGAACCTGTAACTCCTCTTTTGGCTTTTCTTTTCTGGATTGCGAGTGTTTAACTTGATGTGGTCGCCTTGTAAAGGATGAAATTGAACACGATTGGGATCCAGAACTAGACTTGGATGCCGTACTCATTGCCGCTTGCTCCACTATAGAAATTCTCGCCTCTGTTATTTTCTCCGCATCTATAAAACTCTCCGTTGAACTCGGCACGGCGGATGCGGCGGGTATTGCTGGTGGTTCAATTCTTGCTGCGATCGTCGTTGTTGCTGTTGTAGTAGTTGTTGTAGTAGTTGTTGTTGTTACTCTTCCGGCAGATTCAATGGTATCTTTTCGAAATGTTGGTACTGCATGCATGCGACGAATAGCCGCCATGGCAAGTTCGACTGTTGGACAGTTTGGATCCACAAAAAACCTCCGACTCGCTTCTAATGATTTATGATAAGCCACACGAGCCTTTTCACTATCCCCATCACGACCACGTCGCTCCAGTGAAACGCCCAAGTTATACAAACCTACTACAAGCATCATAGCACAACCCGGCAATTGTTCCTTTTGCTGCAGTAAGATTTGTTCTTCAAGTGAAGAGACGGCGTTTTCCGCAGCGGCCACCGCCTCATCATGTTGTTGTTGTTCATTTAAAACTGTGCAGAGGTTAAGATATGTGGATGGTGATCCACGTGCGGTGTTGTCAAGAGACACCTCAATTGCTACCGCCTGTCGTAGATACTGCAGGGATTTCTGTAGTTGTCCACGTCTTTTCTCCATACATCCAAGATTATTCAGCGTAGCCGCACGCAATCGCAGTCTTCGAGTTTCCGCACCAGGGAAATAATCCACAGGTTCTGTCCCTCGCACATCTGTAAGAAAAAGAGCCTTACCAAGATAGAATTCCGCCTCATCAAAGCGTTTCGCATTAAACGCAGCCACAGCATGACTATTACAACGAAGTACAAGTTCTGCTGCATCTTCTACACTATCAGGGCCCATTAATCCTTCATCAATGAGTGGTTTCAATAACTGTGGGGAAAGACATTTCTTATTGGCACATCGTAGTAGGAGTGCGGACTCAGCACACTTGATACTTTCCATTACATTACCGTACTGCTCTAGATTACGTGCCATCTGTAGTAGGAATCGCATGGCAGAAACTACAGATGATGGATTCTTTGGGTTTGCCGTGCGGATGGCATTATCAACCGTGATTCTCTGCATCCAACCATCGCTGTCTACAGGCACCTCACGTCCCACACGGCGTGCAGGCAAAGTCATTTTCTAGGGAATAGTCTACCTTTTTTTTTTTTCTTATTTACAGTTCTTCCCTTTATATGTTTGTATATGTACTATTGAGAATGGGAGAATAAAGAGAAAAATACGAATAGTAAAACATAGAAAAAAATAACAAGTATCGAGAAGCAAAAAGAAAAAAAAAAGGTTAAACACAAGAAGAGAATGTAGTAATTTTTGTTTCTTAATCTTTTTTTTTCCCATGTACTACTAATATTCTTATTTTAAACTCTTCAAGATATAAATGAATGACAACACAGAAAAACTGTGGGATGGAAAGAAAGGAATACACAAAAACAAAAACAAAAAAAAAAAAAAAAATGAAGTTTAATAATTCACTTCTGTCGATAATTACTGTAACTTTACTTCTCCAACTCTTTAAGAGTCTGGTTTGTAGTGAGTTTATATTCTTTGGCCGGTCGCAATATATATCGCGCCAATTGTTCTAACTCCGTTCTGCCTTGATCATCCACTACAATACCTGCCATCACATCATGATAAGCACCTACACCAATAGCCTCATCCATACGTGTGAGAATACACAACACTTCCTCAGGTGTTAATGCACCCGCCTCATGTGAGTCAAAGGCACGAAATGCCAATGTTAGTTCCTCTACTGTAGAAAAATCTTCTGCTTTAAAAGCCTTTTCTTTTTGTTTTTCTTGCTCTTGTAAAAAGGTATTAAATGCAGTACGTGTAATGAGATCTTCTGTTGGAAAATGTTCACGTAGTAGTGAGGCCATATCGGACTCTGTGAAAAACAATCCACAGCTGCGCAGCACATGTGGAATATCCGCACGAGAGATACTTCCAACACGTTTGTAGTCGTACAAATCAAACGTCTTTAACAACTCCTCCGTTGGGATAGACATTCAGAGGAAATATCTATATAGCGGGAATCATTGGTTGAGAAACACAACGAAAAGAAAAAAAGAAAAAAAAAGGAAAACACAGAGAGGATACATAGAAAACAGAAAGTATAATATACAAGTAGAAAAATAAAAATAGGATCATGTGCATACGATGTATGTCTTCATCTCAATTACGGTCTTCTTTTTCTTTTTTAAAAAAGAAAATGGCAATCATGGCCAAGGCAGACGACTACAATCTGCATACCCTCTCACCTCACCTTTTCTTCAAAAAAGACATTTCATCCTCCTCATCATCATCCTCATCTTCCTCTTCATTCTCAATTTCAACCTTGTTGGATCTGGCATCATTTTTACTTGCTGATACACCATCAGAACTCTCTTGTGCCACTTCCACCTTTCTCTTACGCAACGCCATCATTTCATCATCATCATCGTCCTCTTCTTCTTCATCCTCACCCTCATCATCTTCCTCCTCTTCATTCCCCGCCCCAACTATTCCATCCTTCTGCTGAAGTGTGACCGCCATGCCTGTTTGTATGATATCTGTGGTCTCGTGCAGCACCACCTCACTGTTCACATCACGTATTCCCCACAGAGACCAGTACTTACTGTGGGCAACTGTGAACAGCACCGGGGCCCCGGCGGCCGGCCAACACTGCGATCGCACCGCCGCCGCTCCCCGCAGCACCGCCGCACACGCCCCGCCCTTGTCAACATCCCACAATCGCACCGTCCCGTCAAGGGCAGTACTCGACAAACCCGCCGGCAACACACCACCGGCAATCTCTCCGCAGAACTGCAGCGATGTGATCACATCTGTGTGGCCCGCCAGCACCCACGGCGATGTCGCCCCAACACGCACATCCCACACATGCACAACATTATCAGCACCACCAGAGGCAAAGCGCACGCCGCACGGGGACCACGCCACACACGTGGAGCGGTTAAGATGTCCTCCATGCGCACCAGCGGCAATGTGCACCGCCGCACCGCAACGCACATCCCACACCACCACTCGACCAGCACGATCGGTGGCGGCTAGAAGTGAACCGTCAGGATGGAATGAGACATCTAATGTCCCTCCCGCTGTGGCGTGGGCATCTTGTGTGTGTAGATAGCGTAATGGGATCATCTCTGTATCTGTATTACTGGTTGAAGTAAACATACAGGTAGAGGTGGTAATATCCCATAAACGAAGAGTGGAATCATCACTCGTAGAGGCAAGAAGAGAACCGGTAGGGTCTACTGCAAGTCGTTGAATACGGGCTGTGTGATGGGAATCACTCAAACCCACACGTTCCAGTGAAAATTTCCCACGTGTTTTATTATTACCCTTATTGTTGATACTATCACCATCACCATTACCATTATCATTATTATTATTAGCACCACTACCATTTAATACTTCCTCATGCATACACCAAGTTGCAATTCGGGTATCAAACATTGTAGTAGAGAAAAACAATGATGACGTTGGATGCGCTGCAAGATGCTGCACACGACCCCAACCATTATCACAAGTGGATACACTCGCATGCGGTAAACACGCATCAATATCCCATAGTGTCACTACACCATCTGCAGCTCCTGTGAGAACCATACGTGGTAATGTAGGGACTGCAGCACAACACGTAAAAGGCATACAAAGTGTTCCTACCACAGAAGCATCATTACCACGATTAGCACCATTATTTCCATTTTCTATCTTAACATTACGAACAGATTTTACAAGTTTCATAGACCGTAATTGCTCTAATGCCGCCTGATAAGCAGGACGAATAACTGCAGGAGAAGCCACAAAAGCTTCTTTAAGTTTCGCTATACGACGTTCTGCACGTGCTAATGTCAAAGGAAGTAAAGCTGTACGTTTTGCCACTAACTCTGGTGAGGCTTGTGTATATTTGGCTTTCGTTTGTACAGGAATAGTCTGAGAAACAGATTTCTGATAATTTCCATCTTGTTGGTAAAAATGATTTGGCTTTTGTCCATACTGCTGAAGGGTTGCTGCAGAGGAGGAAGATGACAAAGTAGGATAATATCGTTCTCGAATAGTCTCCACACTGCTGAACCCTCCTTCAATCATAAGTTTATGCAGGCGGCGTCGACGTTCAGCGGCAGTTTCGGCAAAAATAAAAATAGGCGCCTCAAGCATCCGCAGTCCCTCCTGCACTTCACGATCTGTGGAAGGAATCACAGGATCCACAAGCTCCATCTGCAGCACAACTTCTTATAATCTTCTTTTTTTTTTTTGCTTTTTTTAATTTTAGTCTTTTTTTTTAAAAAAATCCTTGTAGTGTATGTGTGTCTGTTTGAAGTCCGCTTGCAGGAGTGAGCAAGTAGAAGGATGTGTTCGTCTTTCCTCAAGACGCTAAACATTTCAATCAAAAGAGAGAGAGAGAGAAACAAAAAAAAAAAGTAACAGATTAATGAATAAATAGATAAAGTAGACAAAATATTGAAAATGTTTAAAAGAAAAATAAATAAACAAACGAAAACAACTATTTTTTTTTTTGTATCGGTATGTATGTAGAGAAATTGAGATACAAACACCACAGACATACACCATGGCATATGAGGTAGTATACTTCATATAACTATAATGCACAACGAAGAGCAAAAGCAAAATAATAATAAAAAAAAAAAAAACAATAATATAATATAATATAAAAAAAAAGAAGGGAAGAATAAACATTTTCAACAAAAGAGAAAAAAAAAAAAAAAACAGCAACAATTTCTGTTTTCATTACTGTCCAGCAGCTGCGTCAGGAGCATTACCAGTACCAGTACCAGCAGTCATCTCACCTGTAGTTGAGGAACTAACAGTTGCTGCTGATGAAAGCATCATCATTAACATAGTGATCCATCCATGCAAACAAGCAATATAAACTACAGCTAAAACTCGCATAATAGGATATCGTCGAAATCCACGCCCCATACGAAGCGCCAAAGCATCTACACTATCCATAAACTTTAAAGCTCCATATACTATTCCATTTGTAGAACTCCCTCGACGCATTAAAAGAGGCCGATTCTCTACTCCATCACGTATGGATTGTTGTTGTTGTTGTTGTTGTTGTTGTTGAGATACAAATACACGTGTGGTGCGTTCTTCTTCAAGTCTGTGGGTTGCACGATCACATCGCCGTCGCCACTCCGCCGCATCTCGCAATGCCGCCTCCAATGCATTTTGTTTTTCTAACAATTGTCGGGATAAAAGAACATGATCACGTGATCCAATATCATCACCACGCAGTGAAATAAGAGCACCAGCTGCTGTAAAAGTACCGCCATTCTTTTCTACAGCCGCACGAAGTTCATTTAATTCCCGTTGTCGATTTTGAAGCATTTGTTTACTACGTTTATGAGCAGATATCTCACTATCAAGTGCCTCTCGTGCTCCACGTATATCCAATCGTAAGAAATCTATTTGTTGTACTAATTTTAATCGTTCCTCATGAACTTCAGAGACTTCTCGACGAGACGCAGCCACTTGTGCCTGCAGACGTTCACTCTCTTGTTTCATAGAAACAATAGAACCCTTCAACTGTTCTATTTGTTCTTGTTGCTCCATTACTTTACTACTTAGATCACTATCATCATTATCATGATTACCATTATTTTCAGAATTGTTTAAATGTTTCCCTTCTTTCTTTTGTAATTCAAGTTGATGACGAAGTGCCTCATATTCATGTTGTTTTTCTTCCAATAAACAACGAGATTTCGCCCTATGTTCATCAAAACGCATTCGTGTATCTCGTAAAGATTCCTCTAGTTGATGTACTTGTAGAGATCTCTGCAGTAATTCCTGTTTAGCGGCATCTGTTGCCGCCTGATGACGCCGTACTTCTCGTGTGAGTGCCTCAATTTCCTCATCTTTTCGTTTTAACTCTGTCGATTCCAATTCCAATCCATTTTGCGAAATAGTTTCCATTGCGGTGAGAGTCCCTCCTTCTTCAATAGAATGATGACCTTTTTTTCCCGTTGTTGTTTGTGTGGAACGGAGACCATTCATAAGAGACCCACCCGCACTAACACTATCCATAGGATTATTATTATTCTTATCACTATAGAGAGTTGTTGTGTTTGGGGTGTGATGATTGGGAAAAGCGGTTGGTTGAGCTGGAAATAGTGGGAGTCGTGCTTTGCTCTCCATTACATGTGGATGTGGAGAGTAATCATCATCCGCACCAAATCCACTTTTCTCTGTTTCTCCTCCTTCCAATTCATTCCATTCCCCTTTTCTTTTCTTCTCATTCCTTTTTTCACTCATCACACTATCGGCTGTAGTTTCTGCTGCTGCTGCTGCTTCTTCTGCGTGCTGCAGTGCGTGTTGTTCCACCCGCTCGTCAATGGCCTCTAGAAAGGCCGTTACTCCTTGAAACATAATTTTTTTTTGTTTTATTTTTCTTTTTTTGGTATATTTCTTCCACACAAAATAGTAATAACTGTAATAAATGTATAAATATATATATATATATGGTTTTACTTACTGAGAAACAGCTGTTAGAATAAAAGGGGAAGGAAACATAGAAAACAATAAAAAAAAAAATAAATAAATACGAGAGAGAGAGAGAGAGAGAGAAAACGGTGAAATTGTACTTGCATGAAGAATAGTGAAAAAGAAAAAGGGAAAAATCATTGCGCACTCCTAAGTGGAGAGGGGTAAAAAAAAAAAAAAAAAAAAAAACAATAAAATAAAACAATAATGTATTTTCTTCTTTACAATTGTGACTCAATAACTACAGATTCATCAAGAACAAATATTACTATTATTATCATTATCACCCTCTTTATTATTATCATTATTATCATCCTCATCATTATCTTCATTATCTGGTTCAGACTCTTGATCATCCAATAAGGGTATATAGCCTTCATCCTCTGGGTCTCTGTATTCCTCACAGTTATCCTCATCTAAATTACCCATACTGTTATCATTATCATCATCATTATTACTATGCATTCGAGTACGAATCGCTGCTGAGAGGGATGATTCCCCTGGACCCTCTAAAGTATCTTCTAACATTTTAACAAGTTTAGAAAGTACTTCAGAGTTCTTTTCACTCATTACTTTACTTATTTCTTCACTTCCTTCCCCTTTTTCTTCTTTTACTTCATCTTTTTTTTTATCCTCATCTTCTTGATCATGTTGAAGTGTTTCCGTAATCATCTCCTGCATCCGAAGCATTTGAGTCATCGCGTGTTTATATGCATACTGTACATTGGCAATAGCCGAACATAAATCCGCTAATTGTAAATGAGCCTCAAAAATAGGTTTTCCTCCCTTGTGAGTAGTAGTGATATTCACATTATCAAATCCACCCAGTTTCTCTGCAATAGCCAAACGCACCGCTTCTTGCATGATCTCACTTTGTAAGAGTGGATCCTCCAGCGTCTCCAGCGCCTGCTGGTGCAGAGGAAGCGTAAAGGTACCAGCAACGTGTACAGTTACATCCGTAGTGGGACCTAAAGCATTCCCTTCCACCATTTATTCAGCTAGTAAAGTATTAGCAAAGTAAATAAATAAATAACTAATATATATATATATATATATATATATAAATAAAATTCCAATGAGAAAGATAAATGATAAAAAAAAAGACTCGAGAAAAATATTTCTCTCACTAGTCTATTACGCTTTGCTTTGTTTTTTTTTTTATTATTATTGTGTTTTCTATCTTTAAAGCTCAATGCTTCCTATATTACCAGTTGATATACAATTTCAAGGTACCAAACAAACAAAAAAAAGGGGGTGGAGGGATATTCTGCAAAAATAAAAATAAGCATTGAGAGTGATAGGATTACACATTATACTTAATCAAGAATATATATATATATATATATATATATATATCGGTATATTTATGTACAGATATATATGTATTTCGATAAGGGGAAAACAAAAAGCAACAATAAAGAAAAAAAAAAAAGAACAAGTAAATACAAACTTTCTAATAAAATCTTACAGAACCTTTTTTTTCTCTCTGTTCTTTTTTTTGTTTTTTTACTGCAGCCTCTTTTTCCAGAAAAAAAAAAAAAAAAAAACAGATGAAAAAATAAAAATAAAAAAATAATAATAAATATAATCAATGTGATAATACACTACAGTCATCCAGTATAGTATCCATATATCGTGCCCCACGGAAACGAAAGGTGCATCCGTACATTGCCTCATGTTGTGGAATTTCACTCTTGAGATGTTCTGTGAGTCTCCGTAGTTCTTTCCGTAATTCCTCTACTTGAGTACTATTACTATTATTCAGAGATGAACCCTTCTCTAATTCTTTTAAACGGTGAATAACAAACTCTCGCCTAGTAACTACCTCTAAAAGTGGAAGTTGTAATTCTAGTCGTCTTGTTTCTTTTTGAATTTCATTTTTACGTTGAGGAAGTGGAAGTTGAGACCATCTTTGCAGTATTTGTTGTTGTTCTCCTTCTGGTACCTCCAAGACTGACCATAATTGCTGTAGTTTATCATCCTCTACTACACCAGATATAAGATCGGTGGGATTATCCATAGATCTTCTTCTCCCATACGATGGTGTTTGTGCAGGTGAATACGGTAATGCATAAGAAGAAGAAGAAGCCACCGCCTCATCTAAATTAATCTTTTCTCCTTTCAATGGACTTCCCTCATAAAACTCCTGCATACGTTTACTGGATCCACCTCTACCAACAGCCGCAGTATTGGTGGTATACGATAGTGATGGTGGGGGTGATAATGATAATGAGGCTGATACTGCTGCAGTTTCACCCAGTTGACGTCTTTTCTCTTCACGCGCGGTGAGTTCTTTTAAGAGTCTTTCTTCTTCTTCACCAAGTGCACGTTTTGCCCACGTTTCCCGTTCTTTACGTAAAGCCTCATGCATCTCTTTATATAATCCATCATACTTTTGCTGCATTTCATGTAATGCCTCTAATTTCTGTTGTTCCTGTGAAAGTTGCAAGGCATCCATTTGAGCTTTTGCCGTACGCAACTCATCCTCTAATGCCACACTCCGTTTTCGTTCCTGCTCTAATAATGCATAAAAATGTTTTTGTTTCGTTTCAAATTCATTCCGTATTTGCAGTGTTGTCTCTCGTGATCGTTTGTCGGCATCTGTAAAGTAGATGGAAAGTGTGGCTTCCATATCTTTTTGAAGTTCAGAGAGATGATCACAATAGGCTCGTTCCATCTTATGAGCCATTTCCTGTCGTTTTTCCTGTTCTCGACGTATACGGTCTTGTTGTTCGGCAATAAAAGCACGACACTTCGCCTCAGACTCTACGCGAAGAACTTCACATTTTTCCTCCACACGTCGTTGCATCTCCGCTTCTCGAGAGAGCGATTCCTCAAGTCGTGTTTCTAATGAATTACGTACTTGCTTGATATGTTCTTCATACTTCCGTTGTATCTCTCGTTGTTGTTGTTCTAAATGTAAAATGTGTTGTTGCTCAAGATGAGCCACACGTTGTGTATATTCTTGTTGATTTTCTTGAGACTTTACTGTTACCACGCGTAGGAGTTCTTTATATTCTTCTTCTAATGCCCGTACACGTTCATTCGACATTTCTTGTTGTTCACGACTCTGTGTATCCAACCGCTCCACTAGTCGTTTACGCTCCAACTCAAAGGCAGCTTCACGACTAGAAAGAGTGGCGGCACAACGTTGTTTACATTCCGCAAGAAAATGTTCTTGTTCTTTACGTAACTCCATTATAAGAGCATCATGTTGTCGTCTCTCTTCTTCCATTGCCGCTGCGTGTTTCTCACGTAATTCCATTTCTTGTTGTCGTTGTTGCTCAAGAATTCTCTGTCGTTGTGTAAGTGCCTCTGTTCGTTGTTGATCCAATTCAGCTCGATTACGTTGTCGTTCTTTATCTAATTCCATTTCATGTTCACGTTGTTGTTGCTGCATTAGGGCTCGTTGATCTGCTTCTATTGTCCATGTTTTTTCTAAGAGTTCACTCTGCAGAGAATCCCACTTTTCTTGTTGTTCCTGGGCTCGTTTTTTACAGTATTCGTTCATCACACGTTGTTGTTCTTCCACTAATCGCAATCCGCGTTCCATGGCTTTATCTTCCATAGTTTTTTGAGTGGTTAGCAAAGTTTCCTGCAATACCCGTTCACGTTCTTTTAATGCTTCCCGTTCGCTTTGAAGCGTTTCCTCCATTTGTGCCTTCATGTTTGAAATCTCCTTACGCATACGTGATTCCATGAGTTGTTTATATTCCATCAGTTTCTTATTAAAGGTATCCATTTCTTTTTCACGTAGCTTTAACCAATCCATTTCACACATTTCCTGATAGGATGATAACATGTTGTTTGTGAGAGTTAAGAGATGTTGTTGCATGTGTTCTTTTGCCTGTTTAAATCGTTCAGCGTAGCGAGAGGCGAGTTCCTCATGTAAAGTAGAGCGTTTCGTTTCCCATCGTTGTTGTTCCTCATAGAGATCAGAAAACTTTTCATCATAACTTCTTTGAAGTGTCTCTCGTTCTTTTTTAATGAGATCTAATGCCATTTGTTGTGCTTCATCTTTTAAACGTCTATTTGTCTCTTCTAATGTTTCTTCACGTTTTCGTAATTCTAACTGTTGTTTGGCTATTTGGGTTTCCAGTGTTTGTTTCTGTTCATCTAATATTTCTTGTTGTTTTTTACACATAGCCTTACAATCTTCTCTTGCCTCTTCCTCTGCATGTTGTAATGCCAAGGCACATTGATTTCTCTCTTTTTGAATGAGTTCTTCAAATTCTTTATGAAGTGCATCTCTTTCACTTTGCCATGATTTTGCCGATATCTTTTCTCTTTCTTGTACATCTTGTAAAAGCCCTAATCGCATCTCTGCAAAGTGTTGCAGCTGTTCAGATTCCCATTTCTCACGTTGGCCTCTTTCCTCTTCTAATCGTTTTGCCCAAACTTCATTTAATTGTTCCCGTTCCTGTTCTCGCAGTAACTCCCCTTGTTGTTTTACCAAAACACATTTCTGTTCCCATTCCTCTACACTTCGCAACAGACGTTCATAATCACTTCGGGAAACACGACCCCCAATAACTCCATTCTTATCATTATTATCATTATCATTATTATTCACATCACCGTTAAGTGCCTCATCTAAAAGGGCATCATATCGTTTTCGCATTTCTTCTACTTTCAAGTGCCACATCTCATCTCTTTCGCGTCTCGCACGGGCCACGGCGGCTGCAGTCGCTTCCATTTGTTGTTGCGCAGCCGTTGCGGCGGCGGTGAGTCGAGCCTCTAATTTATCCCGCTCCATTGCGGCCCGTTGTGCCTCTTCGCGGTGAACACTAATTGCCGCCTCTACTTCGGCTTGCAGGAGTGTGCGGTGTTCGGCATCCATGCGTTCACGTCTTTCTATTAATTCTTCCATGGCGATGGTTTGTTGTTCGCGGTGTTCCCGCACGAGTTGTTCTCGCAATCGTGAGAGTTCCCGCATTGCGGATTCTAATGATTCCACATGCAGTCGTTCATGTTCCTTCACGGCCTCTCGCTCGGCATTCGCAATGCGGACTCTTTCTTCCTGCAGGACAGCCACCCAACCACGTTCCCGTTCAGCGAGTTTCTCATCATATAAACGACAACGATCATAAAATTCCTTTTCAAGAATAGATTTATATTCTTCTTTAAAGACTTCCACATGTCGTAAGACTTGCTGTTCCATCTCTAAACGAAGTTCACTATGATTACTTAAGGCTTGTGTGGTCTTTTCAAGCATGACACGAGTTATAGATTCCACATCTTGTTGATGAGATGCTAACACCTCTTGAGCCTTTTCCATCATATTACTTTCAAAAGAAGCCTTCTGCTGTTCAAACTCCGTTGCCCGACGAAGCCATTCCTTTTCAAAGGATTCCATATGTTGTGAAAGTCGAGCTAAACTGTTTTCTTCTCCACTCCGCACTACAGCTTCATACTCCGACATAACTTGCATGGCTCGGGCAATGATATCGCCTTCTTGACCTCTTTTAGAGGTTTCATTACGTAATTGAGCTGTGCGTAAATTTAATAATTCTCGTTTCTCTTGTTGATAACGTCGTTCAGCCTCTTGTAATAAATCACGGGTTTCCATAAGTTGTTTTTGTAAACGTTCATACTCTTCCTTCGATACAACTCCCTCACGTGATCTCATCTGTGTTAACATCCCTTCCTGTTCTTCTTCTTCTTGTTGTTGTTCGCGCCTCTCACGTGATGATGGCGCCTTCTCTCGTTGTAATTCCTCCAACAGTCGAGTTTCCCGTTCTTGTGCACGTGCACGTTCTTCTAATAGTTTATATTCATATTCGGCGACAATACGAGCCAAGCGTTGTTCCACCTCTCTATTACTGTTATGATTGGTTGTTCCTTTCCCATGAAGTGTTGGCGGTGAGTTGGGCAGTTGATATTCCTCTTCCATAATATTACTATTATCGGAGAAATGCGGATCTTTGCCGATATTACCAAAACGTACCGATGATGTCATCGGTGTGGTCCTTTTGTATGGACGTTTACTCTCTAAACTCAATATTACTTTTTTTTTATATATATTTACGATATGCGTATTCACTTTCCTCTACCGCTATCCTTTCTTCTTCTTCTACTTCCTGTGCCTATATATATATATATATATATTAAAACAAAGTAGAAGAAAATTAAAAAAAAAAAAAAAGGATTAGATGTAACAACAACAATATTAATATCAACATTAACAACAACAGCAACAACAATAGAAATAAAAGCAAAGAGAGAGAGAGAGAGAATCTTTAGATTACACACGTGTAGTATTTGTTGTTTTCTCTTTTTTTTTTTATCGGCCTAGAAAGGTATGAAGAAAGAAGAAGAGAGTACATTGCACCGCGAGACCCCAACCTCACATCGCGAAGAAGTATTCACCTCAACGCCGATAAATAATAGAATTTCATGAGCAGCGGTATTAAAAACACCAACAGCAAATAGGCGTGAGAAAAAAAAAAAAAGGGAACAATGATAAACACAGACAGTGAATAGAAAAAAAAAGATAAGATAAAGGCAAAGATAGGCACTAATAAGGAAGAAGAAACAAAGAAACAAACAAAAACAGAACATCAATATATATATATAAATATATATATACGATCAATCAATGGCCATTTAAAAAAAAGAAAAGAAAACTGAGAAAAAAAAAATGCATGAAAGAAGGAAAAAAAAAAGCAATGCTGAGAACTACTTTCATCACAGAAGCCAATCAAAAAAAGAAAAAAAAAAAAAACAGTAAAACTGATGTAGTAAAAAAGAAAAGTACCCACAAACAGGTGGACATATGTACAGCTACTGTACTCTCCCCATATATATATATATATATATATATATATATATTGTGTGTACATATTATTTTACTACAATCACTCATATGATTTATGA